AGAGGGTGATGGCAGGACATGCACATAACCCCAAGGTGGTGCAGCCTCAGCCAGGTCAGGATTTGTGTTTTCATGCTCAGTGTCACGGGCAGTGGTACCCATGCTCTAGGGGGGAGAGAATCCGTCGCATCGCATGTGACACCAGCCAGGTCTGCCCTGCACCCAGCTCCTGGAGCAAAACAGAGTCTTGTGGCTGCAGGAGCAAGGTGCCAAGCTGAGGCTGATCAGCCAAGCTCCAGTCAAGCCCTACTGGCAAGAGCATTTTATGTTTGCTCCACTTCGGAAACCATGAGACCGTGTTTCTGCATGATGATGGACTCTGGAGCAGCATCTCTGCCCTGTCCCTCATTTAAGTGGTATGCGGGTCCCATTGGCACAGCCGGGGTTTGCCCCACTGCCATTGCTTTGGGATGCAGCCAGATCCTCATAGAAACGGGGTTACTTATCAGGGGTGTTTGGCAGATGCAGGAGTGTTTATTGGGCTCATTTTCAGCCCCTTTTCTCTGCAGCCCAGGCAGCTCGTTTGTGGTACGGCATCTCATTGAGCAGCTGCACAAGCCCAAAGGCTTCAGGCAGAGCAGCGCACAAGACAGAACAGAAACACCTGTGGTATCTCTGTAGGTTATAAAGAAATCAGCTGCTAAGCTAAGGAAGGTCAGATGCAGAAGTCCTTATCTCCCTTCCCGCAAATAAGGATCATGAGCAAAGCACTCAGACATCATGAGCATCATGAGATGGAGTTAAAAAAACATGAGCCAATGTTGTTGTCTATAAATAAATAACACCTTCTGGGGTTTCATTCTCAGCCTTATGGTTTCGTGCCTTTAGAATTTTGGTTTTGGGGTTCTCTTTTTTGTCTGCATTGAGAAAAGATAGAAACATTATTCTATTTTTTTTTTTTTTTAATGCAATTGACAACCTTCCTCAACCATTGGATTCCAGGAACCGAAGCTTCAGCACCCCACTCTGCTTTCTCTTCCTCCCCCAAGAAGCATCTTGAGCCTAGCGATAAAATCCAGGCTTCAACCAACGTTGGATGGGGTACCTACAAGGAAGGTGGTGTTGACATTTCATGCAGCCACGTTAGTTGCTTTCCATCTCTCTCTAGAAGTTCCTTCAGGTCCCTGTAGGTTTGACCATAGTAGTGAACATTGAAGCGGCATTACGTTAGGGCCTCATATGCTGTGTTTTGCTGCAGAGGTGGCAGCATTTCCAGGCATGGAGGGACTGATCTCTGCCAAGAACATATGTGCTTCCAGCGGTGAAATGCTCCTTGGAACCTCTTAAGCAAAATATATCGGAGTATTTCTAGAAAGCAAGTGTGCTGTGTGATTGTGTGATCTTGCTGAGGGCATGGGTGAAAAAGAGGATCAGCTGTGAGACGGTAGCAGGTAGCCCCAAGCTGCTTTGGAAAGCACGGGGAGTACGTGAGGAAACATCGCAGGGAGAGTTTATTGCTAAACACCTCCAGGTAATGAAGGAGGCTCTGCCAGATCGTAGCTGCCATATGGCATCCCAGGTTGTCTGACATGGTTTCACGCACTGAATGTGGGTCTGGGACCTTTTCGTTCCTGGCTTTGACTTTACCCCAGAGATGCTTTGACTTTACCCCAGAGATGCTCTGCCTTAGGCAAAACGCTCAGAACCAGCCTTTGGCCTCAGTTGTTTTTTACAAATTAACTGAAGGGCCAGTATCAGGCTTGGCATAACTAGGTGCAGCTCTGTCGTCGTCAGTGGGGATGGTGCCTGTGTCAGTCCTTGGCCCGGGATGCTGTACGTAGGTGTAGGTGTGGCAGGAGGATCTCCACGTGGCGTTGCAGAGCTGGACTCCAGCCGGCCACATGCTCCGTGTCACTCCCTCCCTCGGTCGTGCTTGCTGCGGTTTTCCCCTCATTTGCCGCACAGCCATTCCCATCCCTCCCAGGCAGCGGTGGTCCCTCTCCTCCTGCCGGCCACCCTCCTCCTGCCCTGTTGGGTCCCTGGCTGGTCCCATCCCTGCTGGTGGCTCCTCACCTGCATCTGCCGGAGGTTACTCTTGGGCATGGTGATGAGCCGCCCATTAATGCTGGGTTTACACTGAGCCACAGATCTTTGCGCTCTCTTCTCTTAATTGTCTGTTTCTGGGAATAAAAGGAAAAAATCAACCCCAGCACTCTGCGCTGTGCCATTAACTGGCCGTGAAAGTGTTTTGCTGCAGAGAGGCTGGGTGGTCAAGTGGTTTGAGAACAAGATTGGAAACCATCATCTCCTGAGCCTCCAAACTGCTCATGGCACCAAGCCTCGCCGGGGTGCGATGCTGCACCCCATATGTCTCTGTTTACCATTGATAAAACAGAGCTATTAATACTGCTGTGCTTTGGGGTGATCTTTTGGACTGTAATTAATGTTGAAACCCTCTGAGATCACTCGTTGGAAGGAGCTAGAGAGGTGCATGGCTCTGCGTACGGCTGGGGCTGCCAGCTTCCACCGAGCTGAATTTATTGGTGCTGATTCTAAAACATCTCATTTGGGGTGAATGGAAATGAACAACCTTCCTCTAAGGTTTCTGAAAGAGGACTGGCTTCAGGTGAGGTAAAGCAAATTTTTTTTTTTTTTTTTTCAAAAGAGGATTTTTGACCCGATCAAAATCACTTTGATTCTGATGTTTTGATTTTTTTTCTTATATCTTCTGAAAAAGTTATGATGAAATGAAGGGCTTGTTTGTTGATGCATTTTTTAACCCAGGCAGGCCTGACCACTCCAGATGCTCTTTCCTTTGGCAGCTGAGTGACGTTTTTTCTGTGTGTGCTGGGCAGAGGGGAAGGGCGCAGGCTAAGGGCAACGTAGGTCTGGAACATCGCCCGAAGGGTGGATGTGCTTTAACACCCCGCCAAGCAGAGGTGCTTCCTCTTGACCCTGCTGGCGATGGAATAGGTGATGTGGGCACTAATTGCCGAATATTACAATTGTGTTTTGATAAAAGTCTGCTGTTTTTCAAGGAAAGTGCTCCGACACTGATTGCCTTGGAGCTAATGGAGCTTTACTGACCGCGCCGCTCCGGGCAGAGCAGAGGTTACACATTAGCTGTGCTCCCCCATTTAAAATGGAAAATGCAACACCACAGCCGCTGTGGCTAAGGGAGTGATCCCAGGATGGGGAAGGAGATGAGCTCGCAGCAGTAACCTGCTTGTCAGTTGTGCATTGTTGAAGAGCATTGTTGAAGAGCATTGCCCACTGCTGAGCACCTGGACGGGCAGCAGGATGGGGGGCTCTGCCCAGCTCACCTGCTGCAGGGTTCCTCATCTTGCTGGGCCTGAGATCCTCCCACCCTGCACTGGGTGCCCCCATTGCTGTTGCTTTCTGGACCTGGAAAGAGGAGGATTTGTGCTGCCAAGCTGCAGGGACATGTACCTGACCTGCTCACAGCAGGAGTCTCCCTGCTTGCCTTGAACTCCTCGTCTGTTGGAGGGAGGAGGAGGAGGGTCGGTGGCACCTCCAGGGTAGGATGCAAAGCCCTGCAGTTAGGCTCCTGCCCTGAATTCGCTATTACCCTATTGCTCTGCTGCTGTCCCTTAATCATAGCGGGAGAACAGCCTGTGTGTGGTACTTGTGAAGTTGCACAGCGCGGACGTCCTTCCTGAGATGCTCCCACTCTGAGCAGCGTTCCTTGTAAATTAAGGAAAATGATGTCATGTCAATGAATTAAATAGCATCTCCTTGGGCGAGCTCAGCGTGTGCGTCCCCTGCATGCCCCAGCTTTGTGAAACTGGGAGTTGGCCCTCCACACAAGTGGGTTCCTTGGCAGTCTGCTGGCATCCTTTCAGACAGCAAGTATTGTTAAGGAACTCACGCTAATTGCTCGGAGAGAATATGTCCCGTGCTGGGAATTGCTACCGTGCAAATGTCAGCTCTTATCAGCCGCGGGTGGGATGCGCAGGGCCAGCGGGGAGGAGAGAGGGGGGCTGGCGGTGCTGGTGTGCGGGAAGCATTGCTTCTGTCCCCGTTAAGGATGCTAAGGAGTTAGGACCGTTCCTTAAGTAAACATACCTTGGGGTCTCAATCCATTTAAGCTTCAGCTGCGTTTATCATCCTCTTTGCACTTACTTGTAAGAGCTGCTGGGTTTTACCTTGGGATAAGGAGCGGGGCTGGGTTATTTCTTGGGAGCTGGGTATCCCGCCATGAGGCATCTCAGACCTCTGAGGGGTTCAAGCCAGCTCCTGCACTTTGTCAAAACCAGCTCAAGTTTCCGTGCCTGGCTCGAAGTGAATAAATATGAACCAATGCCTTTTGGGAGAGGGGATGGAAGATTGTCGCCCCTGCTGCGAAAAAGCATTCTCATTTTGGAGCTTTGATATTCTGTGACCAGGGCTCTGAGCTCAGCATCCCGGGACGTCCCACGCAGCCACAGCCTGCTTATTCAATCCCTCACCCGGCACAAAAGCCATATTTTACTGTCAGATGCTCTCCATTAGCTTCAAGTGTGAAATTCTCATTCCCACCCTTTTACCAACCCCACCCTGGTGAGGAAACGAAGGAGAAAACAACCCCAAGGGCTGCTCGCAGGATGTGTACGAGCTGTCACTTGTCAGCACAGAGCCCGCTCACGGCAGGAATTACTGCTCGGCTCTCCAGAGGGCCGGAGAGGAGCCCGGCTTGCAAACGCCACAGCATTATACTGTTTGCATCGGTGCAAGCAGCCCCAGAGATGTTTGCATCCTTCTGCAGTTGGATGGGTACAGCCCTGCAGGGCTCCCAGGGATGGTGGGGAGAGAGGAGACGCACCTGGGCAGATGCTGTGTGGGGATGCGGTGGCCTGTCCCCCTGTCCCTCCTCCTTTCCCTGGGTGCACACCTACTCAGTGCCCGAGATTGTCTCATGGCTTCTTGAGGTGCCAGAACTGACTGATAGGAGCCTGGACCATATTTTTCCTTGCTCTTGTGGAGGGCGGTTCCCATAACAACCTGGTGGTGTGGGACTGAGGGATAAAGGCATTTTTCTCCTTTCCTTTCCTGCTTTCCAGATTTACCCTCTATGCGGTGGATACACGAGGGAGACACTCGGAGCTGAGCACGGTCACCCTAAGGACAGCCTGCCCGCTGGTAGATGACAGCAAGGCAGAAGGTCAGTGTTCCGGTGTCTCATTTTCCACCACAAAAGACATTCTTTTCTGATTTTGCTTTTCCTCTAGTCATTGTAGTCCTTCCAGCCCCTCCAGTCCCTCCTCCCGGTGTGAAGGCTCCTGTAAATTCACCTGTGAGCACAGGGACATTAATCTGGGGAGGGGTGACAAATTGCAAGAGTGTCCAGTAGCGAGTCCCCTTGGCTGGGCAGCTGGTGGCACCCATGGTCCTGTGCCACACAGTGCCATGGCATCCTTCCCCACACATGGCCGTGGGAGCCGATAACATGCGTTTGACATGCATCCTGTGGAAAAAAACAGTGATCTCTTCTTGCTAGAGCGAGAGAGGAAGCCCTTGCTGGGCCAGGACAGCGAGCAGCACGGGACATCGCCACCTCCAGGTGTTTCAAAGGATGCTGGTGGCAGCTGGTTTGGTTCTGAAACAGAAACACCGATAAAGGTCCGACCGCTTTTTGCACATTTGCATTTTCCATTTCTGAAGCCAAGACCATTTGTTCTTATGCCCGCAGTGTTGGGCTGCTGTCAATTCACAAAGATTCCTCTAAGTGACAGGAGGGTTACCTGTTTTCTTTCTTGCTCGCTTTCTATTTTGAAAAGCACATGAAAGAATGTTTTGATTAATGGTTTGTTCCATGTTATTGATGAGCATTCCCAGGAAAAATGAGCAAGCAAGAGACTAAAGAAAAGGAAGGAAATGGAGTTTTGTGCATTCTTCATTTCCAAAAAGAGATCCTTTTGTACAGCAGCGAGTGCACCCTCTCGTTTAATACAGCTGAGCTGCTCTAGTAGATCCCCACAGTGATGATGAGTAGATCCCCACAATGACGATGTGCTGTATATCTGGCTCAAGTACCGTCTTGTCAACAGTGTCATTTTCTTCCTGCCCTTTAGCATCATGGCTGTGCGGTTGCTTTGGTTTTGGTGAATTAGGGAAGAGCTGGCCTGCCCCACCTGGGAGGACAGAGCTGTGTCTGCCTGTCCTGGCAGCCCTCCTCCTCTCCCTCTCCCATTCCTTCATGGAGTATTACTGGAGTCTTTGGGGCTGGAGTCTTTGGGGATGCTCCACTCATGGAGGACACTCACTGCAGGATTAACCTGAAGAGCTGCTAAATTCTCCCCAGGCCACTAAACCCTCTTGCGGGCAGCCTTAAGGGACTGGCAGCCCTCCCAGATGCCCGCCCCTCCTGCCAGCCCTGCCAAGGGCTTTGCTCCTCCTCCCCCTGCCTTAGCACCTCCTGGCTGTTCGTTAATCCCATCCCCCTGATCCTTTCCAGAGATAGCTGACAAAATCTACAACCTCTACAACGGCTACACCAGCGGGAAGGAGCAGCAGACAGCCTATAACACACTGATGGAGGTCTCCGCTTCCATGCTCTTCCGCGTCCAGCACCACTACAACTCCCACTACGAGAAGTTTGGAGACTTTGTCTGGCGCAGTGAGGACGAGCTGGGGCCCAGGTACCTGTCCTTTCCCTGTGTCCTCCCCTGCCCCGCCGCCTGTAGACCCCTCTGCTTGGTTCACTGGGAGTGAACTTCGTTGCCTTCTCCTCATAGATGGGAGGAGTTCCCTCGTGGTGTTCACCAAGCTGTCCTGCCTTCCCCTGGGACTGCTGGGTCCCAGTTGGTCTTGGGATAAATGTTTGTGGGACATTCAGCACTTGGGTGGTCTTTGGATGAATGTTTGTGGGACATCTCGCAACCAGCCTTGACCAGGCGGGTGATATGGCACATGAGCCGAGTGTGTTGGAAAAGCTTGGGGGCTGAGGGGCAAAGGGTGGAAATTAGGGCTGGGACATGGTGAAGGATGCCAGTGGGTACCCAACTCCTCATCTGTTGCCTATACACAGCTTTATGCTAGAAAAGCACAGGTTGCCCAGGGAGGTGGTAAATGCCCCATCCCTGGAAACGTTCAAGGTCAGGTTGGATGGGGCTCTTGGCAGCCTGATCTAGTGGGCAATGTCCCTGCTCACTGCAGGGGGGTTGGACTAGATGACCTCCACGGCCCCTTCCAACTCAAACTATTCTATGATTCTATGAAATGTTTTATCTTTGCTGTACATTTGATGCTCTGAGGAGGGCTGGGAGAGGATTGTTCCTGGGAGTATAAAGAGCAACCTTCCAGAGGGGCTGCAGCTGCAGACCCCCCGTGAGCAGTGGAAGTGGTGGTAAGACTCCAAGAGATCAGAGCTCAAGAATAACAGGCCCATGGACTACATTGCATCCAGGGGGCTGGCAGTATCCTGGCAGTGTCCCAGCAAAGGCCAGACTGCCACCCAGCCTCGTGGGAAACTCTCAGCAAGAAATTCTCAGAAGTAACCATATTCCTCTGGACATCTGCATCCAGCTCTGGGGCTGCCAGCATAAAAAGAGCATGGACCTGATGGGGCAGGTCCAGAGCATCCTCATGCTCAGCCAGAATCCTCATTTTGTTCTCTGAGAAGCTGAAGCAGAGGAAGGTGGAGGAACAGAGTCTTGCAGTCCATGAATAATTCGAAAATATTTTTCTTCTGTCCCCTCTGCTCCTGTCTCCTTCTTGGACATGGCTGAGGGTCCATAATATTAGAATGCCAGCTCCTCACAACAGTTTACACCCCTCCTGGATGTAAATCCAAGCTGGCCTGGGGCTTGCCCTCCTCCAGAGTTGACCTTGGTTATAACTTTTTCGGTAGTTCGTCAGCCTCTGGCACAGAGCGACTCTTATCCTTCCTGCTGCCTTCCTTCTCCTTTGATAACACTGCAGACATGTTTGTCCTTTTCAATTGCTCCTCTCTATAAATCCCTGGGAACCGTCAGCCTCTTCTTACATATCCTTATTTCCTCCGTTACTTGAGATCCAACACACTTATTGAAGGATGCTATCCAGCCTGATACCTACATCAAGCCATGAGATTTACAAGGTGACATTTAAATCACCCGTATTGCCCAGCTCTCTACCAAGCTACATCTGGAGCCAGCGGTCGATTTGTCTGCTGTCTGCCTTCCTCGCTGAGCCAGATGAGCTCCTAGCAGCATTCGTATACCCCTGTTCAGTACTGGAGAAATAAGTGACTTGCAACCAAGGGGAAGTGTCTATAAACGCTGCAGCAGGCAGTGCCAGGTTCTCGACAAGAGCAAGGCTCAGCCGTCCAGCTTCGCAGGGAGCCTGGACAGAAACTGAGGCTCTGACATAGCGGGAGGCGAGTGAGGTTTTGCCAAGGGGAGGCCATCTCGTAACACGATTTTAATTGACGGACTGTTCTCCTTCCCAGGGGGACATTCATTTTCGTACCTTGAAATGTTTATCAGATGAGCCTCAGCTTCGCAGTAAATGTTCACTCGTAAAACTGAGCGACAAGAGGGAAGCGGATTGCCTCCATGTAATAAATACATCACCCTGGAGCCCTCGTGAGCCCAGTTTCCATGAACGCCACAGGTTACTGCAAACAGCTGCTCACGAGAAGACACACTGACAGCCAGATGTCCCAACCAGACGGTTTACATTAAGGAGACATTAAAAACTTAGCTCATAGGTGGCCCTAAACCAGGACTTTCTGTGGTCAGCAGCATCTTGGCACCTGGTTTGCCTCATCCTGCTCGTCTCCTTGAGCAACAACAACCCCTTTCCTGCTCCCCCCATTCCTCCTGCAGACACCAAGCGAGTCTCACAGAGTTAATTTGTTCCAACAAAACAGAAGAATCTGTCTAAACCAGTGGAGGTTTAATGCTACTGTGCATTCAGACCTTTGGATCTGTGCAGCAAGAATGCTTCCTGACACAGCGACAGGGAGATTATTATTTTCTCTTACTTTATTTTTGGTTTGGGATGATTCTTGTGACCACTGCAAACAGGGCTTGGCTGTTAGGAGAAGGCAGGATGAATAATTAAGTTAGAGTCTTCCTTCCACGTCCCTGTTTGTGGCTACCAGCAACAACGCAGTCAGGATGTGGCATCAGCCCAGGGCTCGCAGCCTCTCCTTTGCTCGAGCAAGTCACCCAGGGAGGCAGCCGGGACAGACAGACGCGGGAGACGAAGTGCATCTCCTTAGCAGCTGCCTTCTGGTACCGAGGGGAATGCAATGTACTGATGGGAGGCTGTGATAAGAGGCCATCGAGTCCCGGACTCATTGTCCTCTCACACAAGGGTCTGACAGACCCAGGTCAGTTCTCAGTAGAGTGGAAAAAAATCTGAATTTATGACAAAATCACCCCAGATGGGAACACAGCAGCCAGGCAGCCACCCTCTCCCTGCAGCAGTCCTGGGAAACTCATCCTTCCCTCCAACCCAGGTATCATTTCTTCTTTGCTCCTTCATGCTGGTTCGTTCTCCCTTAGCCTTCCCCCTAAGTGAGACAGGGCTGTGTTTTGCTGGCTCTAGATATGCTCTCATCCCACACCAGCCATTGAGGTGAGCGATCACTGTCCCCCGTGCAGCTGGGGGGCAAACATCCCCATGGGAGCACCCCCGGGGCTGGGCAGAGCAGGAGGCAACATGTCTCCTGCTCTTGGTCACGTCCTTGCAGAGCTGTGGCTGGCAACCAGGGACCTTGGTGCCCTGTCCCGTCACTGCACCCTACTCCCTCGCTGTGGGGCTGCTGGTTCATGCACGACCCTTGGAAAGTGCCCTGGCATCAGACACCCATCCCCTTCCCCTTTTCCTCTCCCCCACCACACTGCAGAGGGAAACAGCCACATAGAACCGTCACTATTTTTAGGTCTCCCTCTTCATCACTTACGACTGTGGCTGTGACCTCCTAAATCCATCACTGGAGCGGAGACCAGAATCAGTCCCTGGCTGGTGCCGACTTCCAACAATAGCCCTTGCAGCAGGCACGTGGCAGGTGGGAGGGCACCCCTGGCTCACCCCAACATGGGGGCACTCCCCATCTGGGCTATGGGGCAAGAGAGAAGGGGTTTGTTCACCCCTGGCTCACCCCAACATGGGGGCACCCCCCATCTGGTCTATGGGGCAAGAGGGAAGGGGTTTGTTTCCCTTGGGGGCTGAGATCTTGGGGTCTGGCCACAGGCAGCCATGAGAGTGACTCCCCCCTCACTCGCTCCCCTGCTGTCCTCGCCCAATTCCTGCCCTTTAATAAGGCAATAAATTACCGTTTCTGGCAGGGATGAGGTTGGTCAGCATTTAGGAAGATTTCGTTTCCAGTATTTGAAAAGGTGGTCGTTCTGACCCGACAGCCCTCCGCAGGGAGCACTTGGGTAATACCTAGGGCTTGATTTATGGTGTTAAATTGGCAGCCCAAGAACTGCTCCTGTAATTTATTACCCAGCCTTCACCAGAAAGCCTCTCTGTCCCTCTCACCCCTCCCCTCACACTCTCTGTCTCTTTTTTCTCCTTATTTTTTTTTAAGAGGGAACAGCTGACAGCCGAAAGCTAAATCTAACATTTAAACATGACTTCATTACCCCACTAAAATAAATGACTCAAAGTGGTGAAACCCACCAAAACTGGGGCTTTGGCACCCAACACCAAAAGTGAGGGGCCTGATTCCCTCCTTCCCCATCACCCTGTCTCCTCTTGGCCGTGGTGCAGTGGGTTTTCAGCAACTTCATAGGGCCAACCCATCGTGTGCTGCATCCCATCCTTTAACATCGATACTTTCCTGGGGCCAATGGCCCAGCACGACTGCGGGGGCAGCAGGTGTGTGGAGACCAGCTCCATGAGGAGCACAGCATGGGTGGCATCAGCAGGTCTGGATGGATTGAATCCTGGAATTCTTGCCACCTCAAGCTGCTCCTCACATGTAGGAATGTTTGCCTGAATAAGAGACCTGAGTTTGTATCAGGAAGCAAGGACAACATGGCAATTTTTAGCAAAATCCAGAAGATCATGGGAGACTAGTGGAACAAGTCATTAAAATGGGAAGGTAGAGAAGGCCAAGCGAGATTAAAGCAAAGGAATGAGCAGGTTGTGCAGGGAAGAAGTGAGAGGTGGGGAAGAAATCTCTGGAGGGGAGGAGAAAGGTTAAGTGGTGAGAAGGGAGGAGAGGCAGAGAAGAGCTTGGCCAGCAGGCACGCGTAGGTGTGTGCTGGGGAGTCCACCCCTTGTGTAGGTTAGGGCCAAGTCCTGGTTACCCACTGCTGCAGTTTGTCTTGAGGGCTGGTCATGGCCACTCATCATCACTGCCCTCTTGCTATGGCTGGGAAAGGCCTTGTGGAGAGCTGGAGTGAGAACCGATCTAAGGGAAACCCTATAGGTTGCTTGGTTGGCCTTTGGACGGACAACTTGCCCATGTTGGCCCCATGGACACCTGCGCCAGCTCAAGCAACTGGTCAGGGACAAGCTAGGGGAGGGGCAATAGCCCTTTTGGAGCTATGGCCATAGAGAGATGGTGGCTATCCTTTTGGAGGGTATTCTGGCTACATGCTCTCCCCCCAAGCGCTGTCAGCTCACATAAAAGTCCATCCTGTAAGCTGCCCATGGGTCCTGTGCTTGCTCAGCCTTCCCTGGAAAAAAATGAAGGATCAGCACAGATGTTAATATCTCAGCATTAGGATGGGTGAGCACTGGAAGGGTTGCCAACTCTGGGCTTTAAGGACAGGTTAGATATTCATTGGGGCAGGTTGATCCTAGCAAGGAAATGACACAGATGACACATTTTGGTCCCTTCCAGTACCACTGACTCTGATTTGCTGAAATTTGTTAACTGTAGTGGCAGTCATTACAGACTTTGACTTGCTGCTGAGCTTAGCTTTAATCAGTCAGTCTTTACTGAAAGCATCTAACACCATCATAGAATTTCACAACTTTTTAGCGGCAGACGTCCAGCAGTGGGGGACCTACTCTTGGCAGTGTATCAGGTCTTGATGCGCAGTGGGAGCACCAGACGCTGTGGAAGGTCAGGTAGCATGAGCAGAGGTATGCTGTCAGAGCTGGGCACAGCTCAGCCCGTGACATCATTATTATGGATGTGTGTGTATAGCTAACGAGGCTCAAATTGCCTAGTCAGGCTTGGCTTTAAATCCATACATGGATACCATGTGGTGTTGTCCAAGAAGGGCCAACTCCCTTCTGCTCTTCCCTTCCCCTGGAGAGCTGACTCTGAGCCCATCACCCTGGGGAGGAGCGGGGCAGTTTTCCCCCTATAGCTGTGGAGGAGCAGTGGTTCCCTACAGCCTTTCATCCAGCCTTCCCCCTCTGCTGGAAGAGGTCCATAGCTGGCTGGGGATGCCAGGATGCCCTCTTGTCCCCTGCCACCTTCTCTACCCTCTGCTCCGGCGCTGGGGTGACTCTGGCCAGCCCTTCCCAGCATCCCGGCCCCAGGTGCCTGTGGGTGTGCGGCTGCCTTGGGCTCCCAGTGCTCCTCCCCGACTGGGAGCTCCCAGCCCAGGCTGCAACACCACTCAGCTTTCATAATCAAATAATCCCCATGTTTATGCCTCGCTGACGGATGGTGCTGCCCTGACATATCATTATTGGGAATTTACATTCCTGCAGGAACTTGAAAATCCCCCAGCCCCAAATCCAGAGCTTTTCTGTGGCACCAGAGCGAGAGGAAATAATCTGTGATCCTGAGACTCAGACCACTGAAGCAAACTCTCTTCCCCTCCCTTTGTTTGATTTAGCACTTTGCAGACTCCCATGAGGGGATTCTTGGTTTCTTACAGGTTTATTTTGTTCTGTCTTTATGTGGTGTGCTTTTATTCCTCGTTCTTCTAGTGCCAGTCCTTCTGGGCCATTTGCCTCCTGGAGACTTGGGAAAACAGGAAAGGGAGGACTGGGCTCATTGGTCAGGAGCAGGGGGGTGCTGGGGGTCTCACTGGGGTGTATGGGGCTGGCACGTGTGCTGGAGCCTGCCAGGAGCATGTGGTGGTGGTGGTGACCAACTCGCAAGGGGCAGACAGTGTCCCCAGGGCACCTGAGCTGCTCAAGGGTGTCAGACCAGAGGTACCGCCAGCTCTGTAGACCTGGTGCTGTGAGATAGATACCGCAGCATAAAAAACAGATGGACCTGTTGGAGCGGGGCCAGAGGAGGCCACAAAGATGGTCAGAGGCTGAAGCACCTCCTGTCT